CCATCCCAAATTTAATTATGTATGTCGTGCTGGAGGATCCTGGTAGATTGGAAGCCATCTCGATATTAAACATTCCATCTCGGATTGGAAGCCATCGCGATATTAATTTGCAATCACTCTGCTCTCTCCATCCTTCCGCAAGACCAGATGTCCTTATATATCTGATCTTGGCATGGAATCGAGATGGGAGAAGGGGTGTGGAGATCACGCTGACGATTCCCGGGATCCTTTAGTAATTAAATGGTGCACGCTCATTCATCCGCGTGTGCAGTTTGATTGAATCAACATCGCCTCAACGTTGAAATGAGAGAGATCTGAACAATTTCTCAATATGCACTACGCATGCGCCAATGTAGCGATGAATATTCTTCAACATAGACTCAACATTGTGGATGTTGAGACTTCAATGCTGTTACAACGTTGCATCAACATCGATGAGCAGACTGGGTTCATGTTTGCTGGTATTCCAGCGGTAGCCCATATATCGAGGCGATGCGTCAAAGGCTCGGCCAACCGCTGGTTGAGGTTTTGACGAGCCATCAGGTCCACTTGCCATCGGGTCCACTTGCCATCAGGTCCACTTGCAAGAGATCCCTCGAGGCGTCGTGAGAAGTTCTTGACGTCATCTTCGATTAGGTAACATCGGAGAGGAAGTCTAGGGTGTATTTAAAAAATGCAGTCCAATCGCAGTTCAGTTTCAGTGTTAGTTCATTTGCAGCCACATTTGGGATTTAGCTGTAAGAGTCGTCGGTTAGAGCACTGTGGGACTTCAGTCTGACCATAGTCTGAACTGAAACTAGAACCGAACTGCCACTTTGAAATCAAGCAATGTCAGGATGGGATGGGTTGGAAGTGTTGCTCTCAAATAAAAGAATCATTAAGCTCATTTAAAATCCTAGGGTAAGGAAAGGAGTGCTGACTTTTTTTCCCGATTGACTCTGAAGTCCTTCAAGGCAATTCAGGATTCTCTCAATTTTTCAGTGCTATGGAAAGGTTTAAGTCGGTGCGTCAAGAGGCTCTTGTCACTACTCAGTCTCAAAACTTGAGTGAGACGTCGTTCCCTCGAACGAAACATTTTTCTCTTTGCCGTCTGACAGCGAATGAAAAGATCGCTGGGGTGGCGGGGACCGAGCTCGACCTTGACATTGGGGCAGACAACATCGAAGCGAAGCCTGAGGTAGCCTGAGGTAACTTGATCCAGGTTATCCAAGTCTAAAAGAACCTCCCGTCGGCATATTCGAATTCAAAACGAAGTCGTTCAAGATTGAGACCTTTCACTTTAACCGATGGGGGAGGGGTTTCCCCCAAGGATATTTCGTGAGACACTGGGTGCGCCAGTATAGCAGAATGATCGGATAGCCTTGAGGATTTCCCCACCTCAACAGACCCTAGAGTCATTTGTCCATATCTGGTCTAGACAGGCGTCCTTCCGAGTCGTGGAAACCGCAACATTCCGTAGACAGCCGGTTAGCTCAATGAGACGAGAACAGACACGATCGATATCTTCGGTAACATACATAAGAGTCTGCATGTAGCGAGACAATGTCGGGGACAAGACCAACAGATCCCGATTTTTTCCCTTTGCGATTGATGTAAATAGAGACGTTGAGAAAGTTTCATTTGGATTCAATTGCGATGAGATTTAGATGATCATTTGCGACCATCCGAACAAGTCTAAGGTTGGAATCCCATTTGAGATTGACATATATGGCCGTACCTCCGCCAGGTTTTTTATATCGAGTGTTGGCGATCGGTCCTGAAGATCTGAAATCCGTCAAAAGAAACTATATCGTTGGTCATATGGGAGTTTAACCAAGTTTCTTTTATGCAAAGAAGAGATATGGAGCCAAAAGATCTATAAATCACCACGTCTCCCAGAAAAAGTAGCTTAATGTCTATTCGCATCCAACGGCACAGGGAATGGTAGATGGGCTTGATCGCATCGGGACAGATTCGTCAGCTGATGAATTTGCCTCTGCGAAGCCCCAGGTTTCGTACCGTCGCAAATGCGCCGGAGGTAATCGAGGAGGAGCACCTCTGCCCGCACGAAGGGCTTCAGGGGTTTAACATATTCGCTCTTGCGATGAAACGTGAGGTAACAGAGAACGATGAGAAAGAGTCACAGGAACGGGAGAGAGACCTGCTGCCATACGAAGCACGGCAATCTTCTTTCTCTTGAGTGCGAGAATTTAGAAGCTTAATGCCTCGAGTGATGAATTATCCATTGCTGAGAAAACTGAATTTTATTTCCCATTGAAGGGGAGTGATACCATTTCCTCATGGATTCCCCGTAAGGTTTGGCATCCCATTCCATGCCATCTATCATGTGCCAGTCATCCATCATGTCTGAGAAATATCCAGACTTCCGTAAGTGCTGCCAAAGCAATTCGGATCTTTTATTCCCTTATTCACCAATGACAGGTATATCTCACACCATCACTTTTCTAAAATTATAAAGAGTTCCTCGGTCAAAGCAAGAGAGTCTATACGATTCTGTCACGATCGATTATTACAACGATTATGGCCTGTGGGGTGGGTAACAGTGTGCAATGGTCCAACGGCTACGTCTGGAGTTTTCTTTTGAGCATATTGCTCGCCAATGTGAGTTGGACTCTCTTTCTTCTCATTGTGAGTTTTAGGAGTAGGTGTTGGGGAGAGAGGGGAACCATGGGTCATGTGGTACTATGGGTCAGTCTGTCTGGAGCTCTTCCAGCACCCTTTCTCTTCGTGTCGTCTGCTCTAAATCTTCCAGCTGAGGTGCCAAGAAAGTGTATTTTTAAAAAAAGTTTCCGTCCAAGTGCAGATTGTGCGGACATTGTTCTGTTGCAGACGCTTTTTTTTCTCTCTTTTTTTTATCTTATAAGGGAGATCTCGATTTTTCCAGTTTGTTTCTTTTGACGAAAAGTCTTGAATCTTGGTGGGATTGGACTCGGGAGATCGGTATTTCAACGCCTGCGAGCTACAATCGCAACTTACTTTGGTTGTAATCCAGTTCTCATTTTAATAGCTTGTGTCGGGTTAAGATGGATCACTCCATTCCGGGCACAGTGGGTCGCAACTCATAGTGCGCCAAATGTTTTCTGAGACTTGTCTCTGCAGATCATGATTTCCTTTGCAGCCTGTTTTCGACCTGATAATGCACAATTATAAGCGGAAGATTCTGAAGGGTTCAGCACCGGCAGATGTGAAAACTTGGACGTGAAACGAATCTGTTATTGTCTGTCATTATTTTCCGATTAAAGGTTTCTTGATAACCGTGGTGAACTGAATCAGTATCCAAGAACTTCTCCTGTGGTGCGAACACTCATTTAAATTATGATTTTGGGTCGACTGAAATTCGCGGTGATCATAGGGACGACCCATCGTACCCCGGTCATTGACCCCATGGTGCCCCGACCCTCTCCTACTTCAGATCTCTTTATATCTGATAAAACTGGGGTGATCTTTGAGTTAATGGTGAGGGGAGGATGAAAATTATTTCCATATGAAGAGAAAGAATAAAAGTTATTATTTCCGTTTGAAGAGATATAATGAAAATTATTTCCATATGAAGAAATAAAATGAAAATTATTATTTCCGTATTTGACAGCCCTTTTCTGCGAATGTCTCTTTTCCGTCCTAATGCAATTTTTCCTTTCTTTTGAGAATAATGCATGGGCTGAGCCTAATGGTGTGAAATTTGATTTGCATTTTTGAAAGTATGCAGTTACAGATCCGTATGCTTTTTCACAGTTCTGCCCGCGAAACGCGTATTTAGAGCCTGAGGTCTTCAACATTTGGTCTGTAATGTGAAATTGCATCAGATTCAATTTTCATTTAGGTTATGGTTTCTCAGAAAAGAGTAAATAAAGTTTGGCAACTTTCTCATGTGCATCTAATGGGATAATTCTCATTCAAAGTGTGCGATGATGGATAGGATTTTTTTTTATGATCCCGAGTATCGTAGTTGTAAGTTGTAAAATAGTTTTTTGTCCGAAAATATTTGCGAGTCCCCGTGATAGGCCATTCTCGTACTAGCGCCTAATCGATGTTGCGCACGACAAAGGTCTCTTGATGGCCCGACTCGAGTGGCCTCTGAGTGGGACAAAGCAAGAATGATGGGAATGGGCCACATCGGCATTCAAGTCGGTCATCCACAATGAGAGCTCACTCTCATAGGCTACCCGTCATGTTGTATGGGGTGCTTTGGGGGATTCTCCTGTAAAGGAGGAAGGAAGGAATATCCTTGAGCCGTTAGTCCTATCTCTTACGGAGCAGAAAGCGAGGAGCCATACAATCCTTCATTCCTGCCATCGAGGAACGCTTCACTTCATCTACCCAGATCAGGGGGGAGGGAAGGGGAGGGAGGGAGGAACGCGAATCTCTTTTTTTCCTTCCGAGCCTCCTAGTTTTTTTTTTTTTCAAGAGTGAAGAGTGGCGCTCGAATCAACTTTCATGACGAAACTCAGGCGTACTGGAACTGTCATTCCGCAAATTGTGTTGCCCCCATTTTTTTTATCCCCTCTCATTCCTCTGAGTGGATTTCTGCGAGATGAAAGCAAGGAAAACGGGGAAAAAAGGGGCTAGTGGCCGAAAATGCAATCAATTAGAAACTCCATGGTCTGCATGCGAATTTGCCGCCTCATTAAGACGTTTCCTGCAATTATTTTCTTCCTTATGCAGACCAGATTAAGAGTCCTGGCAGCAGACATGAATACAGGACCAAGAAGAAAATTTAACTTCCTGTTCTTCATTCTTTCTCGTCACGCTTGACCTCTTTCCCTACCCTTTTAGAGGCACGCGCGCGCGCTTTTTTTTTCTACCTCTTGGGATGATTATCTCTAATCTGATCCTGTCCCTTCACAGAATGCTCGAGCATGTGTAAAGACAAAGAGCTTTCTGCAAAATAGTTTAATGTGAATACATACGTTTCCTTTCATCAGCGATCATTCGGATTCTCGTTGCAAGGTGTAGTCCCAGAGCTTTCGAGGAATGTGAATGGGTCCAGCAATCGATTAGAACTAATTACTGGAAGTTTCACTGCGACAAGTGAGAAGGTTCTTGTAAGCGAGCCGGTACTCGGAGCTCATGGCTACGTAGATCAGGGGATTGATGCACGTGGTGAGGTAGATGAAAAGGTAGCCGAGGATCGTGATCACGGGGAGATCCTTCTCCTTTCCCAGGGCCTTTACGATCGTGATGGGAAGGTAACAGACGAGGAAGGCGATGAAGATCGTCAGTATCATCTTCAAGAGCCGAATGTCTTTCGAAGACAAGCCGGAGCGGATGGAACCGCGCCGGTACCGCGAAGCCCGCCGTTTCATGGAACTGAGGGAGAAGGCCGTCCCGCGATCGATGGGTTCCGGGCTTGGGGTACTCGCCGACGGGATCGAGGGGAGAGAGAGCGGGGGCGGACTCAGGACCAGGCTCCTTGGGGGTCCGGTGCCCAAGTGGATCCCCGAGTCGTCGTCGTCGCACGACGTGTCCGTCCCCGTGGCCTTGGCTAGGGAACTGCTATCCTCGACTTGGACGATCACGTACGTCGCTCCCGCTCCAGCCACGCTCGGCTTCTTCGCCTCCTCCGATTTCGCGTTTTTGCCGGCGTCCAAGTGTCGTCGACTGTTTCGCTCTGCCGTCCTGGCGATGAAGAAGATCCGCGCGTAGCACACGATGATCACCAAGCACGGCAGGGCAAACGCCACCACGAACAGGAATTCCTGCAAAAAGCAGATACGAGTAGCGGAAGGGCTCATCTCATCATCGGACGACGCGTGTCCGAAGAAATGTCGAACCTTAGGACTCTGTTCGTCGACGGGCAGGATGGAACAGCTGCCGATATCCTTATCCAGACCGAATTTTCCCCACCGACCGAAAAGGGTTGGGATGAGGCACGCGAAAGGCCCCAACCACGTCATAGACACCATCACGAATAGGCTCCTTCCCTCGTACAACCTACCATGAGTGAAGTCATAAAAACATATATAGGTCAGAGCAGGCGTCCATTTGTCAACCGGGGATGGAATATCACGCCATTTTGTCATTCGAGGGGGACAAACGACGTACAGTAGTATTCCATCTCCTGTCTTGGACCATCCATCAAGTTCCCCCTTGGCACCGAGCAATACAAGGACAACGTAACAAGCAAACGATTTGAGTTCCCAAGCAAAAAAAGTAGTTCCGCTTTTCCATCAAATTAGACTCGGGGAATCGCGCAACGAGCCGAAAAAATCTGCGAAAACTTTCAGGCAACTCGATCCGACACGCCTCGAACACGGCACAACTACCGAAGCGAACTCACGTGGAATAATGAGTGGGATGGGCGATCATGACGTATCGGTTGAGAGTGATGGCCAGGACGGTGAAGAGGGAGACGGCGACCAAGCCATAGCGGAAGAAGGGGAAGAGGATGCAGAGGATGTGGCCGTGTAACCAGCGTCGGTGCCCGAACAAGGAGGCCGCCAGGGGCAAGTTGAAGCAGCACAGCATCAGGTCCGACACGCTCAGGTTGATGATGAACACCGCCGTCGCGCTTTGGATCTGGCACGTACGAGACGAACCGATGACTCATCGAGCCGTGAACTATGAAAATTTGCATGGATTTGAATTTAATTATGTCGCGAGAGGGGATGCCGCTTCGTGTATGCCAATACGGCCCGCCGTCCTATGAGAGTCCAATCGTATTCATGTCAGACGCGAATTCTTTTGCATACGTTTCCAAGGCGACTCGGATATTCGCTGCTCTTTTCTAGGTGTCTCGGAATCTCTTCTTGCTCCAATATTTTGAGGAGAGGAGACTTTTAATGCATAGCACAGTGTTAGTGGTTATAAGCAGAGAAATTTTGTTCGTATAGCAAACTTTTGATAGCCAATCACTCGTTGAATAATTCAATTCCTTTAATCATGACGAAGATCCTTGATCCTCTTAGTGCCTGGGCTGATATTTCTGCCGCGAAATTTCCTCTCTGCTGGTTCCTTACAGGGCTGACAGAGGGCAGTGTTGGGCATATTTTGTAAAATGCTAAGTTTTCGGCGAAAACAATTTGCACTTTTCGCACGTCCCTCGCCGGAAAGCGTGGCACTAAGAGGGTAAAACACGCATGAGAATCGGACAGACGAGTGGATTCCTTTTGTCGTCGGGATGGAAGGAGTCATTGACGATTCGCCCGAGTCGTGTCTCCGACGAGTCGGAGTCGCGTGAGTGATATACTCCTGTGGAAGTTTTTGCTCTGCCAAAGCGTAAATCAGCAGGGAGACGTTAATGTGCATGAATATGGATGAATCCTTCATACATCATCGCATTGAGATGGCCAGAAACACACACACACACAGAGAGATATCGAGACGGCCTTGCCTCGGCCTCAGAGATTATTTCCAGAGAGACTTGCGCGACAGATCAAAGGAAAATCTGAGAGATATAGGGCCGATTGCATGAACGATGTTTTCCCGGTGTTTTTCGAAAGTCATCGGTTAACCGATGTCTAAGGTCAAAAATGGATTGCATGAACGCTATCTTCCTTTAACCATTGTCTAACCGATGTCTAACAGAAGCTGAAAAAGGTGTCGTTTCCAGACAAGGGATGGGGCATGTTTTGCCGATATTTATGCCAGCGTTCGTGTACCGTCTCGATGAGTATAGTGCTGCAGTGTACTAGTGAGGCACAATGGATTCTGTTTATGGATCCGCTCGATGACGGAGATGTGCTCTCGTCGTCGCATAGGAGGAATAAACATAGGTTCTGGACTTAATCCCTTTGAAGAACATGTTGATTAGAACTTCCGCGTGAGATTTGGAAAGGGATCAGGGTATGATGTCGACCTGCTTCGCGCTGAACTCGAAAGGAACGAAGATCGTGGAAGGGATCCCTTAACTTTACATCGACAGATAAGAGCAATCCCTGTTCGTGTGCACTGAATTATGATTTGTTCAAGTACCCATCCCCTGAGTAATTAAT